ATGTCAGGACATGTCAGAGCATGTTGGGGCATGTCAGAGCACGTCGGGGAGTGTCAGAGCATGTCGGGGCATGTCAGAGCATGTCAGAGCGTGTCAGGGCATGTCGGGGAGTGTCAGAGCATGTCGGGGAGTGTCAGAGCATTTTGGGTGTGTCAGAGCATGTTAGAGCATGTCAGGACGTGTCAGGGCATGTCAGAGCATGTTGGGGTCTGTCAGAGCATGTTAGAACGTGTCAGAGCATGTTAGAGCATGTCAGGACATGTCAGAGCATGTTGGGTCGTGTCAGAGCATGTTGAGGCATGTCAGAGCATATCGGGGCGTGTTGGGGTGTGTCAGAGCATGTCGGGGCATGTCAGAGCATGTCAGAGCGTGTCAGGGCATGTCGGGGAGTGTCAGAGCATGTTGGGTGTGTCAGAGCATGTTAGAGCATGTCAGGACGTGTCAGGGCATGTCAGAGCATGTTGGGGTGTGTCAGAGCATGTCAGAGCGTGTCAGGGCATGTCGGGGAGTGTCAGAGCATGTCGGGGAGTGTCAGAGCATGTTGGGTGTGTCAGAGCATGTTAAGAGCATGTCAGGACGTGTCAGGGCATGTCAGAGCATGTTGGGGTCTGTCAGAGCATGTTAGGACGTGTCAGAGCATGTTAAGAGAATGTCAGGACATGTCAGAGCATGTTGGGGCATGTCAGAGCACGTCAGGGAGTGTCAGAGCATGTCGGGGCATGTCAGAGCATGTCGGGGAGTGTCAGAGCATGTTAGAGCATGTCAGGACGTGTCAAAGCATGTTGGGGTGTGTCAGAGCATGTTAAGAGAATGTCAGGACGTGTCAGGGCGGGTCAGAGCATGTTGGGGTCTGTCAGAGCATGTTAGAGCATGTCAGGACGTGTCAGGGCGGGTCAGAGCATGTTGGGGTCTGTCAGAGCATGTTAGAGCATGTCAGGACGTGTCAGGGCGGGTCAGAGCATGTTGGGGTCTGTCAGAGCATGTTAGAGCATGTCAGGACGTGTCAGGGCGGGTCAGAGCATGTTGGGGTCTGTCAGAGCATGTTAGAGCATGTCAGGACGTGTCAGGGCGGGTCAGAGCATGTTGGGGTCTGTCAGAGCATGTTAGAGCATGTCAGGACGTGTCAGGGCGGGTCAGAGCATGTTGGGGTCTGTCAGAGCATGTTAGAGCATGTCAGGACGTGTCAGGGCGGGTCAGAGCATGTTGGGGTCTGTCAGAGCATGTTAGAGCATGTCAGGACGTGTCAGGGCGGGTCAGAGCATGTTGGGGTCTGTCAGAGCATGTTAGAGCATGTCAGGACGTGTCAGGGCGGGTCAGAGCATGTTGGGGTCTGTCAGAGCATGTTAGGACGTGTCAGAGCATGTTGAGGCATGTCAGAGCACATCGGGGAGTGTTGGGGTGTGTCAGAGCATGTCGGGGCGTGTCAGAGTACGTTGGGGCATGTCAGAGCATGTTGGGGCGTGTCAGAGCATGTTAGAGCATGTTGGGGCGTGTCAGAGCATGTTAGAGCATGTTGGGGCGTGTCAGAGCATGTTAGAGCATGTTGGGGCGTGTCAGAGCATGTTAGAGCATGTTGGGGCGTGTCAGAGCATGTTAGAGCATGTTGGGGCGTGTCAGAGCATGTTAGAGCATGTTGGGGCGTGTCAGAGCATGTTAGAGCATGTTGGGGCGTGTCAGAGCATGTTAGAGCATGTTGGGGCGTGTCAGAGCATGTTAGAGCATGTTGGGGCGTGTCAGAGCATGTTAGAGCATGTTGGGGCGTGTCAGAGCATGTTAGAGCATGTTGGGGCGTGTCAGAGCATGTTAGAGCATGTTGGGGCGTGTCAGAGCATGTTAGAGCATGTTGGGGCGTGTCAGAGCATGTTAGAGCATGTTGGGGCGTGTCAGAGCATGTTAGAGCATGTTGGGGCGTGTCAGAGCATGTTAGAGCATGTTGGGGCGTGTCAGAGCATGTTAGAGCATGTTGGGGCGTGTCAGAGCATGTTAGAGCATGTTGGGGCGTGTCAGAGCATGTTAGAGCATGTTGGGGCGTGTCAGAGCATGTTAGAGCATGTTGGGGCGTGTCAGAGCATGTTAGAGCATGTTGGGGCGTGTCAGAGCATGTTAGAGCATGTTGGGGCGTGTCAGAGCATGTTAGAGCATGTTGGGGCGTGTCAGAGCATGTTAGAGCATGTTGGGGCGTGTCAGAGCATGTTAGAGCATGTTGGGGCGTGTCAGAGCATGTTAGAGCATGTTGGGGCGTGTCAGAGCATGTTAGAGCATGTTGGGGCGTGTCAGAGCATGTTAGAGCATGTTGGGGCGTGTCAGAGCATGTTAGAGCATGTTGGGGCGTGTCAGAGCATGTTAGAGCATGTTGGGGCGTGTCAGAGCATGTTAGAGCATGTTGGGGCGTGTCAGAGCATGTTAGAGCATGTTGGGGCGTGTCAGAGCATGTTAGAGCATGTTGGGGCGTGTCAGAGCATGTTAGAGCATGTTGGGGCGTGTCAGAGCATGTTAGAGCATGTTGGGGCGTGTCAGAGCATGTTAGAGCATGTTGGGGCGTGTCAGAGCATGTTAGAGCATGTTGGGGCGTGTCAGAGCATGTTAGAGCATGTTGGGGCGTGTCAGAGCATGTTAGAGCATGTTGGGGCGTGTCAGAGCATGTTAGAGCATGTTGGGGCGTGTCAGAGCATGTTAGAGCATGTTGGGGCGTGTCAGAGCATGTTAGAGCATGTTGGGGCGTGTCAGAGCATGTTAGAGCATGTTGGGGCGTGTCAGAGCATGTTAGAGCATGTTGGGGCGTGTCAGAGCATGTTAGAGCATGTTGGGGCGTGTCAGAGCATGTTAGAGCATGTTGGGGCGTGTCAGAGCATGTTAGAGCATGTTGGGGCGTGTCAGAGCATGTTAGAGCATGTTGGGGCGTGTCAGAGCATGTTAGAGCATGTTGGGGCGTGTCAGAGCATGTTAGAGCATGTTGGGGCGTGTCAGAGCATGTTAGAGCATGTTGGGGCGTGTCAGAGCATGTTAGAGCATGTTGGGGCGTGTCAGAGCATGTTAGAGCATGTTGGGGCGTGTCAGAGCATGTTAGAGCATGTTGGGGCGTGTCAGAGCATGTTAGAGCATGTTGGGGCGTGTCAGAGCATGTTAGAGCATGTTGGGGCGTGTCAGAGCATGTTAGAGCATGTTGGGGCATGTCAGAGCATGTCGAGGCATGTCAGACTACGTTGGGGCGTGTCAGAGCATGTCGAGGCATGTCAGACTACGTTGGGGCGTGTCAGAGCATGTCGGGGCATGTCAGAGCATGTTGGGGCGTGTCAGAGCATGTTAGAGCATGTTGGGGCATGTCAGAGCATGTCGAGGCATGTCAGAGTACGTTGGGGCGTGTCAGAGCGTGTCAGAGCATGTCGGGGCATGTTCAGACACGTTGGAGCATGTTGGGGCGTGTCAGAGCGTGTTGGGTCGGGGCATGTTCAGACACGTTGGAGCATGTTGGGGTGTGTCAGAGCGTGTTGGGGCGTGTCAGGGCATGTCAGGGCATGTCAGGGCATGTTGGGGCATGTTCAGACACGTTGGAGCACGTTGGGGCGTGTCAGAGCGTGTCGGGGCATGTCAGAGCATGTCAGGGCATGTCCTGGGGGGGGTTCCCCACCTCGTTGAAGAGCAACTCGCGCCGCTGCTGCTTCCTCAGGTCCATCTTCTTGACGGCCACCAACTTCCCGCTGCTCCTGACCGTGGCGATGCAAACGACGCCCGTGGAACCTTCCCCGATCTTGATGAAGTTGTCCAGGTAGGACCTGGGGTCTCCAGGATCCACCACCATCTGCAGGGCAGCCCGGAACTGCTCGTGGGACACGCGTTGAGGTTCCCGTTGAGGGGAACGGGGTCGGTGGGTGGTTGGGGGTGGGCAAAGAGGCCTCGTCGGGTCCGAGGAAGGAGGGGGGAAATGATTGGGGGGCTC